GGGAGAGGAGGAGGAAGGAGAGGAAGAGAGGAGAGAAATGGACGTCAGGAGGAACAGGGCAAGAAGGAAAGTGAAGGAGGGAGTGCATGGGAGGAGAAAGCATCCAAGGGAAGAAAAGAAACAGAGCAGGAAGGAGAGGTAGGAGGTTCAACCAGCGTCGGTGAGGGATGTACTACGATGCTCCTGCATCACTGAGGTCTGAAACTGCGTCCCTTGCCCCGAGCTCTGCGTTATCCCGCTGGTGTTGCGCGTGTAGACGAGCTGGAGGTTGCGCGTCAGGAGGTAGCGAGAAGGATGATGATGATGATGATGATGATGATGATGATGAAGAAGAAGAAGAAGAAGAAGAGATGATCATGATGATGATGATGATGATGATGATGAGGAGGAGGAGGAGGAGGAGGAGACCTGGACGAGGAGAGATATGGCGGTGCCGTTGGACGCGAGGGCGTCCATGAGCTGCTTCTTCCTCTTGGGTGTGGGCAGCCACACGTCACTCTCAGAGGACATGAAGATCTTGGCGAAGCTGTCCTTCATCACGCACTCTGCTTGGAGGGACTGGACGGCGCTGTCCTGGGGTTCAGGAGGAAGCCAGGAAGTGACGTCATAGAAGGGGCCGGAGGGACAATCGTCGGAGACGAGCACAGGCACTTGCTCGAAGGCGGAGAGGGAGGAGAGGGAGAAGACGTCGCCCATGGAGGTTGCTAGCGAGATCTCCATGCTGACCCCGATGATGGGGACAGTCTTCGGGGAGGCATACTTGGAGGAGACCACAGAGACGAGCAGCGGGCCCCAGATGACGAGGGCGAGGCCGGCGAAGTAGAGTACGCCGGTGTAGAGCTTGATCTGCCATGGCTGAGCGAAGCCGAAGGCTCGCCCGAGCTTCCTCCTGTACGACAGGGTGACTTCCCGCTGGAAGAGGACGGCGTAAATGTTCTCCATCCTCATCCACTGGAAGAAGTCGAGGGTCGTGGCTGTGCAGGTCCAGTCGAGCATGCTCCTCATGTCGTGGAGGAACGGAGTGCCGGAGTAGGCGATGTAGAGGACGAAGTTGACGAAAGAGAAGTCACGGAAGAACACGTTGCCGCCTGTCATGATGGGATATCCCCTCCTGATCTGGATAGCAGACGCGATCCAGTACCAGCACTTGAAGAAGTAGAGGATGAGGATGAAGGCGAAGTTGTCCGTGAGCCAAGGCTGCCGCATGCGCATGAAGAGCAGGGAGAAGAAGAAGAGGAGGGTAACGAGCTGCACGATCGTCTTGACCCTGATAGACCTCCGGAGGTAGAGGACGCGGTCCAGGACGATGAGGACGAATTGCAGGAAGGCAAGGAATACCCAGCTGAGCGTCTGCCAGTCCACCACGCTCCCTTGCAGCACGGTGTGCAGCTTGCTGTCGGAGCCGGAGCCGGAGAGGACGAGGCCAACGAAGAATGCGAGGAGGGAGAGGAGCTCCGGGGAGACGGTCAGCATGTACAGGTCGATGCCAACCCCGTTCCCCCAGCGAGTGGTCAGGGATCCACACCATGGACGAGCTCCGCTCCTTGCTCTTCGTGCCGCTGTCGGTGGCCGTGCGGGCGGAAGGGCTCTTGTCTGACTTGCGGCTCTTGGCGGGGGAGGGGACGGGAGAGTGGAGGCTGCCCTGGGCGAGCGACTGGCGCAGAGGCTTGCTGGCGAGGATGTTGAGCCCTTCTGGGACATCCTTGACGTTCTCCTGCAAAAGTTGAGACAATCACGATATGAGCAACGAGGAGGGAGGGAGGAGGGAGGAGGGGAGGAGGGGAGGAGGGGAGGAGGGGAGGAGGGGAGGGAGGGGAGGGAGGGGAGGGGGAGGGGATTGAGCAGGCAAGCAGTGGAAAACAAACGCAACTAGGTCAATTACGTTCTCGAACAAGAACGATAAGGAGAGCGATTGAAACCTATGAAGGAGGGAGGGATAGAGAAGGAGAAAGTTGTGGTGGTGAGGAGGAGAAAGTGGTGGTGGTGAGGAGGAGGATCGCCGTCGCACCTGCGGAGATTCTTCACGCAGCTGATCTTCATCTGGTTTGAGATCGTCTGGACCAATATCTCGCCACCTGCAAGGCACTGAGAAGAAGCAGCAGCAAGAGCGGAGCAGAAGAACAGAGGAGAAAGGCGAGAGATGGAGAGAGGAGGGAGAGGAAGGGGACGGAGAGGAGGTGAGAAGGAGAGAAGGAGGGAGAGGAAGGGAGACAGGGAGGAGGTGAGATGGAGAGGAGGTGGGGGAAGAAGGGAAGAAGATAGAGCATGAGGAGACTTTAGGTGAGGATGTAAGGCAAGCTGCCAGCAGTGAGGAGACAGGGTGTTGTTCTTACAAGCCGCGGTGCTGCATGTTGGCGCGATGAGCGACGAGGACGAGGAGGGTAGCGAACTCGAAGAAGCCCAAGTTGTTCCATTCGCCCGCGAAGTCTCTCCAGGCAGGGAAGAAGAAGTCGCATTCCCACGTGCTGCTTCCTCCCCCCTCGCAGACCCTGCTCTGCAGTAGCTGGAGGGAGGTCTTGAGAGCGATGAGCGCTGAGAGGTAGAGCATCGCAACATTCCAGTACCAGCGAGCTGGGAAGGGCTCCTGCAGCGCCGCCATGCACAGGGTGAAGAGGAGGAGGAGGCTGCTGGCAGGGTTGCAGTGGAGAGCATGGTAGAGCACAAGAGCAGCGTAGCAGGTGAGGTGGGTGCGGGTGCTGAACCAGGCGGCGCAGTTCTGACAGACTTCACTCCACAGCTGCGAGAGGCTGCGGGACGGCTCCCTCTTGGTCGCGCTCTGACCTGCTCGATGGTGTCAGGGTGATGGTAAGCGAGAGGAGGAGAGGGAGGAGGGAGGAGGGAGGGAAGGAGCAAGGGAACGAGGGACAGGAGGGAGAGAGAAGACGGAGAGGGAAGGAGGAAGGGGGAAGGAGGAAGGAGGAAGGGGGAAGGAGGAAGGAGGAAGGGGGAAGGGGGAAGGAGGAAGGAGGAAGGTGGAGGGAGAAAGGAGGAGGAAGGAGGGCAACAAAAGGACTTCGACTGGTAGTACAAGATTTTACCTTCTGAGACGTCAAAGATGCGCAGGAGGAGGAGGAGGATCCAACGAGCCAGAAACGACAGCCAGGACCTCCCCCTCTCCTCCTCCTCCTCCGAGCTTGACGACTGGTCCGACTGATTCCTCTCCCCCGGCACGTCAGTAAAGGCGGAGGATGACTCCCTCTGCAGGGTCTCGATGAAATTTGCGGCAGCTGACTTCATCGTCGACTGGCCCGTAGGTGTTGTGTTCCACAACATGCTCCCCCGATCTGCTTCCCGCATAGTCGTCGAGATCAGGGAGCGAAGCTCCTGCACCCTCTGCCGGCTCCTCTTCAGCGCCGCCCGGCCGGCTGCGATGGCGGCAGCCCGCCTCCTTCTCTCCGCGCTGATCCACTCGTCCCCCCGCTGGTGGGCGAACTTCGATTCGGCAAGCACCTCCTCCTCCAGCGTCTGGTACCAGTCGGACTGGAGGAGGTACTGGAGGAGCAGGAGGACGAGGAAGGCAACGATGGGGGAGAGTGCGACGGAGCCGCGGGATATGCTGACCCCAGCTGCCTGCGCCATCCTCGAGAGGGCGGTGGCGTTGCTGAGGCAGACGTCGTGGTAGACGACGGCACCTGAGGTGTTGTAGGAGCTGGCGTGCGGCTCCGGGAGGAAGCGGTTGTTCTGCTCGTAGAAGATGGAGATGGGGATCTGAAAGATGGCATCGAGGACGAGGAGGATGCAGAGGAGGAACTGGAGACGCTGGCAGAGCTTGCGGATGCAGGACTGGAGGTAGAGGGCGAGGAGGATGGTCCAGACGATGACGACAGGGGCAAGCGACTGCTGCTCGACCTGAGTGACCCGGAGAAGAGGCCGAAGAAGACGAGGAGGGCGATGCCGATGAGGATCTGTTGAGAGCGTGAGGAGAAGAGAGGAAGGGGAAAGGAGGAGGGAGAAAGTTGAGAGAAGGTGAAGTGCAAGGAGGAAGAAGAGGTGGAAGAGGAGACGAGGACGAGGACGAGGATGAGGACGAGGACGAGAAAGGGGAAGAAGGAGAGAAGGGAGGGAGGGTGCAACCTGTGCCGTCGTCCATGAGATCCAGATCGTCGGGCTCAGGATGCTCGACTCGCGCCCGATGCTCTGAGCGTCAGGTTCAACTTTCCCCTCCTCGTCGCCGAGCGGGAAGACGGAGAGGTTCTTGGACTCGGCGCTCCTCGAATGAAGCCTCCTGCTGTGCCTCTCGTCCGACTGGAGCAGACGCGTCTCGTGGAGAGAGATGAACAGCATGGGGATGAAGACGGCGAGGTTGATCAGCTCCTCATCCACCTGCCACCCTGGGATGATGCCGAACCAGAAGTTGATACAGGAGAGCTGGAAAGAGCCGAAGACGTTGGGGAAGGGAGCGTAGAACATGGTGACTGTAACCCTGTGCACCACCAGCAGGAAGGCGAAGAACAACTTGATGTAGACCCACCAGGAGCGCCGCACGTACGTCTCTGTGATGAAGTAGCAGGAGACCAGGAAGGCGCATAGTGAGAGCAGGCAGAGCATGTCCTGCGCCACGTGGGAGGAGAGGAGGAGGGAGGCGACGATCATCTTGAAGGTGACTGTCGTGGAGATGCTGCCGAGGAAGCTCAGGTGCTCGCTGCAGTCCTCTTCCTTGAGCCGGAAGCTGATGGCGCACACGATGGACGCGACCATGACCAAGACGTCAGCATGCAGCATGTCAGGCATGAAATCCGGTTGAGAGATCTCCTTCACGTCTACCCCAACCCAGTCGCACAAGCTCCTCTGCTCGCTCCTGAAGCAATCCTCATCCACCCTCCTCATCCACCCCTGCAAGTTGCAGAACTGCACGAGAGCCTTGAGCACGCAGATCGCCTGCGCCAGCAGGAGGGGGAGGATGTACCATCTCCTGACCCAGCAGGGCTGGAGCAGGAAGACAACGTTGAGGAGGACGTAGAGAAAGGAGAGGACGGACTGATCGCGGCTGCCCGCGTAGTACAAGGAGAGATGCAAGCTCATGACCCCAAAGAGGAAGAGAAGCTCATTCCATGCAAGAATCCACTTGGACCGCATCACCGCTGCTGCCTGCGCAGCTGCCGCCTTGGAGAACCGACGAGCCTGACCTCCCAAGACGGCGACCAGGATAGCGTCACCGAGAAGGTCGGGAGAGAAATCCTCCTCCTCGTCCTTGAGCGCCAGCCCGAGGTCAGTCATGGTGCATGCATCGACATAGCTGCGATGTAGAGTGAGACTCGAGGAAGCAGCAGCTCCTCCCTCCTCACCGGGAGATGAAGTTGTTGACCACCCTCATGTTGCCGACGTAGCGGAGGATCAAGATCAGCACAGCGACGGGGAACATGAGATACCTAGAGGGAAGCAGAGGAGAGAAGTTCATCAGTACGAGGCGGAGGAAGAAGAGGGAGGAACAAAAGGAAGAGAAAAAGGAGAAGAAAAGGGGCGGAGGGGGGGGGGGGTTCGGTAAGAAGCAGGAGCAGGAGCAGGAGCAGGAGCAGGAGCAGGGAAACTCTGAGAGAGTGAGGCAGCGAGTCGCCTCTCAGTCTCCCTTACCACATCCTGTGCGCGATCTCAAGGCCGTCGAGCTTCCACCCGAAGAGAGAGTGGACGAGGAGGAAGAAGAAGGAGACGAGGAGGTAAACGATGACGTCAACCGTCATGTGGATGTCCCTCTCCCCCATCCACCATCGCAGCTTCATGTAGCATCCCATCCCGTACAGGAGGATCAGGAGGTAGACACACACAAACCCGACAAGATTCCACGAGTTCCTGACCTGCAAGAGGAGGGCAACGGGTCAGAAGAGCAGTCACAGGGGTCTCAGTCTGCGGCATCACATTCAGCTGCATCTCCCGGTATGCGACGATCATCGAGTGGGCCCAGGACTTGTCGCTGCTGTCCGGCCTCCTCTTGCTTCTGCTCCACACAACCATCACAACCCACTCCTCTCCCACCTCTCCCTCACATTTCTTGGAAGTCCAGGACGACTTGACGCTCCGGCCCTGCCTGCTGCGCCGCTTCATCGGAGAGCACCAGCTGGCCTTCACTTCCTTCTGCCGCTGCTTCCTCGCTGTCAAGAGCACACAGGACAGGCAGCAGCCTCACCCTCGTCCTCCTCCACGAAGATCCACTGCTGCTCTAGACACTCCAGCCGCAGCTTCAACTTGGCAAGGTGAAACTGCTGCACGAGAAGCACATAGATCAACAAGCTCCCCCCGATCGCCTCCCACGCCCACAGCGGCTTCTCCCTGCTGATCCCGAGGCCCAGGACCTGCCGTAGGGAAGGAGTCAGGCCGGAGACAGGACGTGCCAGGTTACCTCCAAGGCCATCAAGATTGGGAAGTGCCAGACGTAGTCCAACAGGCACATCACTCCCACTCCCCCGAAGCCGACGATCCAAACGCTCGGGCTGCAGAGGGGACAAGGCGAGAGCAGGAATGAAGTGAAGGAGAAAGGGCAGCAAGACACAAGGAAAGGAGGACAAAGGGTAAGGAAGGCGAGGAGGATGTGCAGAAGGAACAGGGAAAGAGATAAAGTAATTAGAGCATTGAATTCGGATCATCAGGGCAAAACCTCGGAGAGACAAGGCACAAATAGATTGCCAAGATCAGGCGGCTGAGTCGCTGGAGTAGAGTGTTACTTCCTCCTCATTCCGAGACAAGACAACCTGAAGGTCTAAGAAAAGGAGACTGTCATAGAAGAGAAGAACGATTGTGAGGATCCAATTGAGGTGGAAGAAAACCCTCCAGTACAAGAAGCGGTCTTTCTCTTCAGCCACAGAAGCCGGAGTGCTTGGGGCCCTCGTTTCAACCGTTCCTTCTCTGGTGTAGCGGGATGACAACATTTGACAAACAAACATCATCTGGAAGATGAACAGCTGCAGCATTACTTCTTTTACCCCCATGCATCGGGGCCAGATATTCGGCGATCTCCAGCAGCAATCCTTGTAATCCACGAGACCAATGGTCTGCACGATCGATATGTCGGACGTGCTCGTCGTGTTCGAGCATTCTTTGCGTACATCCGACGAAGTGATTTGAAACATGAACTGAACGAAGATGATGGCGGAGATGTAGATCATGACGACTCGTGTCGTTCGCTGAAAAGTGAGCAGGCATCTGACATCCCTGCCAACGAGTCAGATCGCAACCAGCTCATTCTTCTCAGCTCGTTACCTCTGTGTTGATCCCATCGCAAACAGGAACAACGAGGCGGCAAACAAAACCACTGACAGGAAGCTCGGCAGCAGGACAGGCCACAACATCAGGACAGCGCTGAGGAGCTGGGGGAGATAGTCCAGAAGGTATTTCTGCCATCCGATCGAGGGGCTGGGCGGAACATCCTCGTCTGCGGCAGCAACCACCTCCTCTTGCTCTGGCGAGAAGCTGACTTGCCGCCTCTTCTCCTCTGCCTGATCCTCGCCTCCCTCGCCTGGGGGATCGACTGCGGGACTCTCATGCGGCCTGCTCGCGATGAGAGGAGTGCGCAGGTTTGGAAGGTGAATGACGTTGGTCTCTCCCCTGCTCGACATCCTGTTCTCCTGACCTTGCTCGTGACTGGCAGGAGAGAAATTCATGCAGTACAAGCCGAGCAGGAACGAGTTGCTGACCCACTTTGACCAGGTCCAGCCATCGAAAGGATAGAACCCAAACATCTTCTCGAGCTGAGGTGCGTTGCTGTCTTGGAAACGAAGCACAGAGATGGCAAAGCTGTAGGTCACAAAGAGATGGATTCCAGTGTATACCTTGAGAGTGGACACATATGTTGTGCTCTGAAAGCTGAATTCACCACGACTGACCCACTGCAGTATCAGAACAAGACTGAACAGGTAGTAAATGACTGTGATGATGGTTGGATTCAACAGTGAGGACACGGCCATCAGCAAGTACACCCAGTAAGAGATCTTCGACGAAGCCGAGAACAACGTGTGCACCTGCGTACATGCCTGCAGGGAAAACAAGATTCTGACCCCACTGGTCCCTGCGAGGGCGTCCAGTGTAATTGAGCACAGAATCCAGAAGAGCTTCTCATCAGCCGAAGACTCTGAGCTCGTGATGATGTTCATCCCAGCCAACTTAGCCACATCGAAGATGATCGTTATCAGGGACCAGAGGGCGTTTACCAGGCAGAAAACCTTCTTCAAGTTGATCTCGTATACCCTCCCCCTGATGGAAGGTAGCCTCAGCCCTCCTGCCCTGGTGGACATGACAGGAACTGCTGCAAGGAACAATGCGGCGAATCCAAGAGAAAGATAGTCATAAGACAGGAAGGACCTCGCAAACAGGGTGACCATCAAAATCTGTGGCAGCGAAGAACCCTGCGGCCTGCCGTTCTTTCCTGGACTGAGCCAGCTTTGAAGCAACTCCGCATGATCTGCGTGAGAATTCCTCGTTGAACCATCACAGGGCACAGAGCCTGTGCCTTGATGCCCATGTCTCCCGTCCGGGTTCTCTTCCTCGATGTCTGAGTCCACTATCAGCCGCCGTGCTACTTCCGACTTCTTCTCGTGGGGTCCAGTCTCACCCATCGGCTTCACCGAATTCTCCTCCCTCAGCTCATCTTCTTCGAGCCCTCCGTCATCATCCTCCTCTCCCTCCTCTCCCTCCCTTCTTCCTGGTCCCCCCCCGCGCCCAACTCCATCTTGCCCAACCTTCCCCACCATTGCTCCTACACCCGCTGGGCCCCTGTAATTTTTTGACCACCTTTGACCACGTTTTGACAATACCTTTGACCACCACTCGCCGGACGGGCCGGCCGGCCACGGCCGGCTCACTGCCACTCAGTACTTTAGTTCGTCACCGTCTGATCAGGACAGGCCAACCCCTCTCAATTACACGTGCGATTTCGCAGGTGCGATTCGGCCATGGCGCTGGGAAGGAGGCGCGAGAGGGGAGAGGAGGAGGAGGAGAGGAGAGGAGACAGGAGGGAAAGAGCAACCTGAACTGTCCAATACCAGACGATCCATAAAGTGCCAAAGGACACGGACGAGACGATCGAGAGCAGGAGAAGGAGAGCAACGGACTAGCCCAGGTTCCAGTGCACTTTCAGCAGGGTAGCCTTGGGCATACAGCATGCAGGCTGCTAACGGAAGCGTGCTGAAAGGCCTCATCTCGAGTTTGATTGAGACCAGGAAGCGCGTGCTGGACATTGAGTCCAGCCTGAAACAGGTCTTCAACGATCCTACTCTGGAAATTCCTTTTGGAGCTGAGCACGCCTTCCTGGAGAAAGCGTCTTGTCGTAGCTGCGAGCAGGCATGTAGTGATTGCTGTTGTGTCGAGACTACAGAAGAGAAGATGGATGTCGGTCCTCGTCCTCTACAGAGCATGAAGGGAAGCGCGACGAGCATGGAAGGGCTTTCGTCGCAGAACCTCTGGCCAGGAGAGAAGGGAAAGCGGTATGAGCGGAGGAAACGAAATGAAAATCTTCCTCGAGTGAGAAAAGGAAAATTAGCGCAAGGTGGGAGAGTGGAGGAGGATTGCTACGAGGAGAGGACGTGGGACCCCAAGGTTGTGATGCCAGCCCTCACCATGATGCCGATTGCGCATGTTAAATCATGCTTCCCACGAAGGAACGGATGTCCAAGGCAAGGATCAGTTGTTCCATCCTCTCGCGCTAAGATCGACATTGTCTTTGGAACCAATCCCCATCATTCACTGGAGGGATTGGAGGTAAGTGTTCCATCCTAGCGAAGGGGTGTTTCTACCAGGTCAATGTTGACGTCTGTCATCGTCAGGATTTCTCTCACGTGTGGATTCTTTTCGTCTTCGACGGGAATGGCACGAACTACTGCCCAAGACCTCACATCTATCCTCCTAGACTCCTTGGTGCCTCCAAGGGCGTGTTTGCTACTCGTTCGCCTCATCGTCCTTACCCCATCGGAATCTCACTCTGCAAGCTCGAGAAGGTGGGATATTAGTCGATATGACTCCGTCGCTCCTTTCTGAACCTGAGGTCTTCAAGGTGGAGGGAAGGACCCTGGAGCTGTCAGGTGTGGACCTTGTTGAAGGAACGCCTGTGATCGACATCAAACCTTACATCCCCTGTTATGATGCGCCGTATGCGGTGAGAACAACGAAGCGAGGAATTTTGATGCTGAAAAGTTGAAACGTACAGAACGGTCCAGACGGCTCTCAAGACTTTGGTGTTGAGTTAGCGCACAAGCTCTCGTTGGAAGGAAAATCTCTCAGGCATGCTCGGAGCGGCAGTGGGGTTGTGTACTGAACTTGTTAATGCTCAGGTATCCAAGTTGGTGTGTTCCCAGCGCACAACCGATCTTGAGAGTTGAGTTCACGGAGGAGGTAAACGGCAATGCACACGAGGCATGCCATGTCATTAGGACTTGCAGGCTGAAAGACAGTTTGAAGACATACAGAAGGAACACAAGCAACCCAGGATGATAGAGACCTGGGAGTGCCTTCGACAAGCTGCCATCCAGGTGACGACCAGTTGTCGACTTGCTGGATCCTAACGAGATGATGAGGTCTTACAAGCTGATCCGCGGTCTGTGTATCGCAAGGAGTCGTGTGCGGGTCAGGTCTGCTACGTGATGCAGTCAATGGCAGTAGGAACCGTGATCGCATGCCGCAGGAGTACCCGTTCTACCTGGACTGTACTGCGATGACCTGCATCTTTGATGATGAAAGCAAGTACGCACAGCATTGAATACCACTATGATCGTCCATTCACATTTTTGTCAACAGGCTGGTCAAGGTTCTTTCAATGGAGGTGGTTCCACTAGAGATTCAGATTAAGAGCCAGAAGGCCGAGGTCAAGAAAGTGAAGAACACTAGCGATGCAACAGTGAGCGAATAGAAGTACACGCTTGTTCTTTTCACAAAGATCAAAGATGAGATTGACAAGGTTCATCGTTACAGTTCTGTAATAATTGACAACTTAACCTGTACACATTCTCTTTGACCTCTTTGACCAATAGCACATATGACACAGCTTCTGTACACCCTCAAGGTGATAACACCTCCTCGATCGTCACATCCCATCCCTCCACCTGCTCTGACTCCCCGCCTGACCCTTCCAGCAAAACTCCCTTCTCTCCCCCTCTTCCTCGCCCGTCAGCCATCACGAAAGCTCTGTAGCAGCTAAGATGGTGCGGTCGGCCTCCTCGACCTTGCGGAAGTGAAGGGAGTAAGGGAAAGGATCTTCTCCGAGGTAGGTGAAGACTTCGCCGCTCAAAGTCACGGAGTCCGAATTGAATCGGTAAAGGCGATGGTGAAAGATCCGCCAGGTGTCTCCATCTCGCTTGTAGTAGAGCACCGAGAGCTGACCTGGAACGTTTCGATGGACCAGAAACCCCATCGCCGTACCAGGAAATCTCATCAGTCCATCGGCTGGCGATCCATCGCACGTTGCCGTGAGCACCTTCGACCAAGGCGTCTTGAAAGTCCCGAACACGTTTGGCAGCCTCAGCCGCACGTGAATGCAGATGACCGGGATCTCTGATGAAAGATCCAAGACATAGTGCACCTGAGCAATGCGCTCTAGTAGGCCACTGGCTTTCCGACTGAGAATGCTGTAGGTCGCTCCTATCCGACTCATCAGCCGACTGATCGCTGAGCTCGACATCTCGCAGCTCCCAAACGCGTTCAGCCCCAAGTGAAAGCCTCCCACAGCTCCCACCCGGTTCAGCGCGCAGTCCGTCAGGTAGTGCGATGTGGACCTGTCGCTCACCAGCTCGTACACGCCTGACACTTCCGACAAGCCGTCCCAGCTCGCCGAGCACGTCCACGAGGGGCTCGACAGCAAGCTCAGCATGTAGACCATCCTGCCCTCTATCGCATTCGGATACGCTGCGTCAAACCTCACATTCAGCATGCTTCCTTGCCGGCTTGCATCAATCGCAATCACTCGCGCAACAAACTGCAACGGCAGCATCCCGGTCGCTTGCAGGTGAGCCCTCGCATGCTGAAGGTCCTCGGGATGAAAGAAGTGCGCAAACTTCTCTCCCGCAATGTTAGCTCGAGTCAGCCCGAGGTACAGCTGCTCCAGCCCTCTGCTGGCCCGCACGACCCGCGTGTCTGGCAGCAGCAGCTCCAAGCACAGCATCGTGTCGCTCATCATTAACCCCTCCCGATACACTGTCAGCGACAAGTGACATGCTCCATCCCTCATCCGCTTGGAGGGCTTCTTCATGTCCTCACATCGTATGCTCTGAAGGTGCGCTATCGCATCCTCGTACAGGTCGATCAGCGTTCGCTTCGTTCGCAGGCTCCCCCTCGAGGACGGCGCAGGTTGTTTGGTCAGCGGCACCAGCGGGTCGAGCTTCTCCAGCAGCACCCTCGTTCGCTCCCTCTCAGCGATCTTTCCCAGTCTCTCCTTTTCTCGGTCCGCCTCCGTGGCGTGTCTTGCCAGCCGCTTAGGCCTTGCTCTGCGACCTTGCGATGGAGGCATGAGAGCCTTTGGTTTCTTGCAGTTATCGAAATTGAACTGAATGTCACTATCCTGAAACAAGAGGTCTACACTTGGATTAAGATTCATCGTCCAGAAATGATAAGGAGTCACTGTACACAATCAGCGATACACATTCAATGGTATCAATCGTTCACAAGTTGTGGGACTCCTGTTATAGCCAGCTAAATCTTTCCAAGAGGCTCTGTCATCAATTTGATCTATGCTTCCTCAAAAGTGGCTACTGTCCACGAGACCAAGGGGAAGCCAAAGGATTGAAAAACTCTTGAACAAAGGGTTGCTGTAAATGTGCGCACACGGGTCGGGGAAAGGGTTTTGAAGAGAGAGAGATCAGATCTAATAGAAGCGAGAGCGAGAGAGCAAGAGGAGGAGAACAACCTGGACGAAAGAGGAGAGGAGGGAGTTGATGAAGGAAGGAGAGGAGGGGGAACTGCAGCAAAGGAGCCTTGCGCTGAAAGTTGAGGATTCTGGATGCCAAAGGGGTGGTGGGATGAACCTAACAAGAGGGGGTGGGGGTATATGAAACTTCCACGAGACTAGGGGTTAGTGCAGGGGAATGGAGACTAGAGGGTGGGGTATGTGACCTCGCTGACGACACAGGTGGGTACTGGTGAAATTCAACGGGGGTGGTGGTGAAAAGGGTGGTAAGGGTGCAATGCACACCCTGAATTTGACTCTAGTGGACAGGGGTGTAGTTGGCTATTTTTAGGGTGGGGTACTGAAATGATGGGTTGGGGTGGGTAGGACCATATCCTCGAGAAAAAGCCACTAGGGGGTGGGTAGGTGGTTTTAAAACTCAAGGAGTATAAAAATATTATAGAGCAATTTTTAAAAAACAAGGAGAAGGAGTAAAACCTCGTAGTCAAACTTGAGAAAAGCGGCTAAAAATAGAATCAGATCTCAAACGTATCTCCCTGACTGTCTAGAAGATGATAACGGCGGGGCCGGGGGGAGGACTCCATTGCAGTTACGAGTGGGCACCCGGTGACGCCGCCGGGGGGGCGACTCATGGCGGCGATGACCATTCACGGCCCGTAGTAGCCCGGAGTCCGATCGGGCGGCCCGGCCGCCCCCCAGCGCAGTGTTTTACTCAAAGTTAAGTTAAAAATCAGTACGAGGACAATCAGGAGAGTCGAGGAGGCGTGACCCTGACACTGTCGCACAGGCCAAACGGCGAGAAGAGAAAAGACAGCGAGAACCAAACCCAATGCGCAGTGGGTACGGTACTAGCCCGTACCGGCGGCGATCCGGTCCGACAACTTACTGAGGGGCCGCCGCGATTGGGATGGGCCCCGGTCACCGGGTCACGAACATCGGAGGCTTGGCACGGTACCGCGACGGAAGTAGGGTAATTCAACTTTGCAAGGTTCTGTACTGGTTATTTTGCGGCACTATGATACAATGATACAGGCTACTAAGTGGTTTTAATGAAATGGTTGCAACATCCCGGACTTCGTCAGAAATCGCGCGGCACTCAGTGAATTTCACATTGAGATTCTTCCTTGTTCGGCATATTTTTGTGCCAAGTTCTCGCGGATCCGTCGATCTCTGCCTTCAAAGGCTTCCCGAAAGTTATTCTCGAAGTCATCGACCATTTCCAGTACTCGCATGGAGGCCTCGTTTCTTCTCACTCCTTGCCATTCTCTCAGGTTCGCCTCGTTGGTCACAATTTTGAGCAAGTCACGGGTGACACTTTGAGAGTTGGTCCTCAAGAACTCCAGCACTGGGGCATACCTGACGTTGGATGTCTCAAGATTCTCTTTCAAGCTCGTAATCTTTGAAAGGCACTTCTGTCGACTCTCCTTCATACGATTGAGATCAGATTCGATTGATTGAATCTTATTCTGAATCACTGAGTCTTCCGAATCAAGTAGAGTCTCTTCCAATGCAAGCTTTCTTTCCAGGTCATGTTCTTGGTCGAGGCATATCTCTGCTGTTGCTGTTTGAGTGATCTTGTCGATGGTCGAGACCTTGTGTACTCCAGCATAAGCCTCATGCAAGTCGCAAGCAATGCAACGCTTGAGATCTTCTGCGTAGTCATTCAACTCTTGGACCTCTTCGTTGACTGTGCTTGCAAGCGAAGGGATCATTTCGATCACCGAAGAGACTGCCTCGACAGACTTCTCAGCCTTCTTGATCCGAATGTCTGCGCATGCCAGGTACTCGCGAACTGACATCATGACATTCTGATGCATCAAGCTTTCTTGAGTCTTGACGTTGATCAAGCGCTGTTTGCGACTCCGAATTTCTTGCATCAGGTTTTGATTCTGCTTCTTGAGGGACTGCAATCGTGCAATCTCTTGGTCGATTTTCTTGTCAACATCCGAGCAATTGTCCTCGGCAAGTCGATCCAGGTTGAGACAACAGTCGACCTGCCATTAACTACGTCAAAAATACCTTTGCACAGACAAGGATGTTAAACTTTACCACGATCTGAGCTTTTTGATGAATTGTCGTCGCTTCTTGCTCATATTGCTTCAAAGTCGATTTCCGCTTTTCCTCTTGCTTGGTGCACTCTTTGTAGACTTGCAAGATATTCGAGAGCTGCTCGACTTGTTTTGAAATGTCTTGATCGAAGTTGTCAAATTCATTTTTCAATTTCCAATCATAAGCTCTTGCCCAGTCGTCGAGGGTCTTGTTGAAAATGTTGTGAAAGTTTTTCAGGTCCTAAACAGAATCATTGTCATTGGAAAAATGCAGGAACTTTGTTTCATACCTCTTGACAGGTCTCAAGTTCTAATTTTGACATCCGCGCATGGGCACATCCTGATCTTTGGTTGTGATAGAGTTCCAGTTGATCTTGTAGCTGAACCAATGCGTCTTTCTGCGAGCGAAACACGGGCTTATCCTTGTGTGCAAGGATCTGAACATAAGGATAGAATGTATTGAAAGCCAGGGCAAGATGTGTCACCATAGCAGGATCGAGTGAGTCAATTCCCTCCAGGGTAGACTCGATGCCTCTGCTGATCTCAACTGGGCACTTGGAAAGGTCATGCCTTGTGGTCTTAAACTGAGTCAAGCAATTTCGGAGAGCATGAAGATCGATCGTAGCAGGCTGAGCAGGGTGTACGGCATTGAGTTGTTGCACGAAGGTGTTCCAGCTCACGAGATCAAAATCAAGTTCTCTCACACCAAGCGATGGCTCGGGTGACTGAGTGTTCGACATGATCATGCCGGCAATCTTGATCATCTCCAAGCAGGATCGGAGCGCTGGACTACCTTGATCCTTCTCGTTGTCCAGATTGTTTAGAAATTCTAGGCTGCACATGTACGCGACATGATATCCACAGTCTGCCACATCCTCGTGAACCATTTCCACCTCGTCATCATCTTCCATTATTCTTCCAAGTATGTCAGCCAGCGTCAGATGATCAGCGGTGAGAGATGAACACGAGAGGGCGTCTGTAATGAATGTGCAACTCTTCGCTATCAACTCCTTGAGACTTGTGATATTCGCTCCGCGTGTTGAGAAGACACTGAAATATTTGATATCGTCATCACCCACAGCGTGAACATAGACCCTTACAATAAGACAAGATGGCACCAACGAGACGGGAATCGAGCCAGAAGCAGGGAAGATAGTTGAGACAAGCTCATTAGATCGTACTTGATTGCCTCCTATGAGCACGGAGCAGTACTTGCTTGCCTTGACAGGTTCTAGCAACCCCTTTGAAATACCTGCCAGCAGATTGTTGAGATGTTCCACCTGATTGCGGTGTGATAAAGAGAGACTGGCGGCAAAGTCCTTGCTCTGCAGGAGATGTGCGATCAAGTCTCCGAGGTGCTCCAGCTGAGAGGGGAGCTTCTGCGACGACAGCTTCACGCATCCCTCACGTACGCTCACAAGCGACATGGCGGCTGTAAGGGAATCGGCTGTTGGAGAAGGGGGGGTTGTAGATGTTATGGGGTGAAGGGGGAAAGGGGGAACTGGGGGTAGGGGTAGTTGCTGGGAAACAAAATGTCCGCTTGCCACCACTTTGGTGGGGTCTTCGATTGTTGAAATGTGGGTAGGGGTACTTGTGTTTGCTGAGAAAAATGAAAAACACGATTCTGGGAGGGGGGGTGGGTGGTATGTAGCTGTGCGCTTTTTTTCACCCCCACAAGACCCTGCACTAGCTGCTGCGCTGGGGGGCGGGGAGGGCGGGGGCTTGAACCCGGTGCGTAAACGAGATGGCGGAGAGGGGGTGGAGAGAGGAGGGAGAGCCTGGAGGGACACAAGCAAGAAGAAAGACAAGGATGGATGTCTGATGATGACTTGAAGACTGACAGACTTGATCAGGCTCTTCAAGAACCTGACCACTGATGTTCAAGGAATCATGATCGGCTGATACGTTTCTGCGCGTAGACCAGCGAGACCGCACACCTCCTGCCGCTCCCTTCATACACACCCACTCACCCCGCTCACACATGGCTGACGATCTACAAGCTGCAGTCCGACTCCTTGCACCTACCCTGGGATACAGCGGGTGTCTGGAGGACATCTCTAACGCTTCAGTCATCGCTCTCAGAGACGAGCTAGGCCGGCTGTCTGGGCTGCTTCCCAGGCTCTACAGGACATGGTCTCTCAAGGCTCATCCGGACAAGGGGGGAGACGAGGAGACGTTCAAGCGAGTGACGGAGGCGAAAGACAACCTCCCGAGGCTGTTGTCGAGGAGGATCGAGGAGATGGAGGGACAGAAGCATGCCGAGACCCAGCGGAGGATGGCTGAGCGGATACGGGAGAGGGGGCGAGCACAGGCGGCGGAGCAAGGAGAGGCGAGGGCGAGGGAGCATGGGAAGCGAGCGGTAGGGGAGGCGTTGCAGCATTGGATGGGGGCGACGAGGGTAGAGAGGAGGGTGTACAAGAAGGCGTGCGAGATGGGGAGAAAAATGCTTCTTGCTCTTAGATCGATAGCTTATCAGTGCAAAATAAGGAGACTCATTATCAAAAGCAACGAGCTGGTTGAAGCAAAGAAGATGATCACACAAGAGCTTGAAATAAAATGGGTTGAGGCCGAGCAAGACACGAGCAAGGCTGAGTCAGACAAGAAGGCGCTGCAGGAGCAGCTTGAGGCGCTGAAGACTAAGGCCGAGCAAGACACGAGCAAGGCTGAGTCAGACAAGAAGGCGCTGCAGGAGCAGCTTGAGGCGCTGAAGACTAAGGCCGAGCAAGACACGAGCAAGGCTGAGTCAGACAAGAAGGCGCTGCAGGAGCAGCTTGAGGCGCTGAAGACTAAGGCCGAGCAAGACACGAGCAAGGCTGAGTCAGACAAGAAGGCGCTGCAGGAGCAGCTTGAGGCGCTGAAGACTAAGGCCGAGCAAGACACGAGCAAGGCTGAGTCAGACAAGAAGGCGCTGCAGGAGCAGCTTGAGGCGCTGAAGACTAAGGCCGAGCAAGACACGAGCAAGGCTGAGTCAGACAAGAAGGCGCTGCAAGAGCAGCTTGAGGCGCTGAAGACTAAGGCCGAGCAAGACACGAGCAAGGCTGAGTCAGACAAGAAGGCGCTGCAGGAGCAGCTTGAGGCGCTGAAGACTAAGGCCGAGCAAGACACGAGCAAGGCTGAGTCAGACAAGAAGGCGCTGCAGGAGCAGCTTGAGGCGCTGAGACTAAGGCCGAGCAAGACACGAGCAAGGCTGAGTCAGACAAGAAAGGCGCTGCAAGAGCAGCTTGAGGCGCTGAAGACTAAGGCCGAGCAAGACACGAGCAAGGCTGAGTCAGACAAGAAGGCGCTGCAAGGAGCAGCTTGAGGCGCTGAAGACTAAGGCCGAGCAAGACACGAGCAAGGCTGAGTCAGACAAGAAGGCGCTGCAGGAGCAGCTTGAGGCGCTGAAGACTAAGGCCGAGCAAGACACGAGCAAGGCTGAGTCAGACAAGAAGGCGCTGCAGGAGCAGCTTGAGGCGCTGAAGACTAAGGCCGAGCAAGACAAGAGCATGGGTCAGGCAATCAATGGAAGGCTGAAGCAAAAATCGTGTACATTCCCAGCACGACAGGCATTTCTGCAAACTAGTGAATACAGAATCTTGGAGGTTCTTTGCAACTTCGTTGTCTCCCTGCCCCCCTTTCACGCTCTCCCTCCTCCCTCGGCTGATGTCAATGCCAACGATGACCATCACAGGCTCCCTCGCGTCATGTCGTATCGTCCCAAGTCGAGGCAGGTGCATCAGATCAAGACAGCGCTTGTCAACCTGTCCAGCTCCGACGCGCTAGAGCCGGATACCCTGCAAGAGCTCGACCGTGCGGGGTCAGAGTGGGTCCGCGTGCTGGACGAGCTGACAAGCAGCTGCGAGCTGCTTCGGCTGGAAGGACCCGACGCGCGCGGCCGAGAGCAGGTGAGAGGGGCGGAGAGCGAGGGAGGCAGGGAGGGCGAAAAGAGAAAGCAAAGAAAGGGCAGGAATGAGGAGGGGAGGGTCTGTTTCTTGCCTG